TGATTTCTAGAATTCGATTACATGGCCAATTCTCCGTCCCGAGACGATAATGATGACTGTATCAGAGAGAAGTTCACCTGAATGAGCGAGTCACATATACATACACTGCACAGGCACGGACGCTCTCCAGGTGTTCGGTAGTCCACTGTGGACCTGATATGGTGGCGCAGGCGGCCGGCCCTCAATACCTCCGTACGTTTCGCCTGATCGGATTGCGCTTTTGCCGCAGGTATTTCGGTGCGAGCCGAGCCTGAAAGGTCACGTGCTGGCTGGCTAGGTAGCCTGATGCTGACGTAGTTGCATTCGACCGACTGTATGTTGCTGCAATGGCTCACACGCACGCCATGGATAACGGCGACGACGGCTTCAAACTGGTTAACCGCCTGCACCAGAGCAGAAGTCCGTATGTAAGTGCCAGCGCAAGCCGCCCCAGCGCTCTGCGCGACGCTGACGGCGGCAGGTTCGCGGCCACATGAACAATCCGGTGGCGTGGCAGGTAGGTTCCAAGGTTCCTTCTCGAACTCGAGACGTGATAAAGTCCTAATTTTTGCATCGCAGACTTGGAGTCCGGAGGCACTGAAGCTGGCCAAGCAATCAGACAGGCTCATCTTCATCAGTATCGGCTATGCGGCGTGCCACTGGTGCCATGTCATGGAGCGCGAGTCTTTTGAGAATGCAGAGGTGGCGGCGATCCTCAACGCGGCCTTTGTGCCCATCAAGGTCGACCGCGAGGAGCGCCCCGACATCGACCGCATCTACATGAACTACATGCAGGCGTCGACGGGCGCGGGCGGCTGGCCGCTCAACGTCTTCCTGACGCCCGACCTGCAGCCCATCTTCGGAGGCACTTACTGGCCGGGGCCGGGCTCGACGACGGCGGGCGGCCACGTCGGCTTCGTCGACATCCTGGGCAAGATGCGCGACGTGTGGAGGACGCAGCGACAGCGGTGCGTGGACTCTGCGCAAGACGTCACGGCGCAGCTCCGCGAATTTGCGCAGGACGGCAGCATCAGCCGCAAGGAGGGCGCCGACCAGGACGGCCTCGACGTCGAGCTGCTGGAGGAGGCCTTCGAGCACTTCGCGGCGCGCTACGACACGACGCACGGCGGCTTCGGCGCGGCACCCAAGTTCCCCACGCCGAGCAACCTAGCCTTCCTGCTACGGCTATCGCAGTACCCGCAGGTCGTCGCCGATGTCGTGGGTGCCAAAGAATGCAGCGCGGCCAAGAACATGGCCGTGGCGACGCTGGCTGCGATGAGCAGAGGCGGCATCCACGACCACCTCGGCGGCGGTTTTGCGCGCTACAGCGTCACCCGGGACTGGAGCCTGCCGCACTTCGAGAAGATGTAGGCCGCCCGCACCGACTCCCACACCATTGCACTGACCCCGCGCAGGCTGTACGACCAGGCGCAGCTGCTGCCCCTCTACCTCGATGCCTACCTCCTGACGCGCGACGCCGACTATCTGGCTACCGCCCACGATATCGCTGCGTACCTGACGAGCCCGCCCATGATTGCTGACACGGGCGGCTTCTTCTCTGCAGAAGACGCCGACTCCCTCTACCGCGCGTCGGACCGGGAGAAGCGCGAGGGCGCCTTCTATGTGTGGACGTACATCGAGTTCCAGAACGTGCTAGGTGACCGGGACGCCGACATCCTCGCCCGCCATTATAACGTGCAGGACGAAGGCAACGTCGACCCCGAACACGACGCCCACGACGAGCTGATTAACCAGAACGTACTGGCCGTCAAGGGCACGCCTGCGGCACTGGCGAAGGAGTTCGCCCTGTCCACCGAAGACATCGAGACGATACTCGCCGAAGGCCGGACGAAGCTGCTTGTACACAGGCTCAAGGAGAGGCCGCGCCCGGCGTTGGATGATAAGATTGTCGTCTCCTGGAACGGCCTCGCCATCGGCGCCCTCGCCCGCACCGCAGCTTCGCTCGCTGCCTCAGACCTTTCAAGGGCAACAGAGTATCTTGCCGCTGCAGAGAAAACTGCGGCCTTCCTCAAGACGCAACTCTACAACGCACAGTCCCACACGCTCCTGCGCGTCTACCGCGAAGGCCCCGGTAATGTCCAGGGGTTCGCCGATGACTATGCATACCTCATCTCCGGCCTGATCGACCTCTACGAAGCGACCTTCGACGACTCCTACCTCGCCTGGGCCGATGCCCTACAGCAAAGCCAGATCCGCCTGTTCTGGGACGAGGAGCATCTTGGCTTCTTCTCCACGCCCGAGGGCCAGCAGGACCTCATCATGCGGCTGAAGGATGGCATGGACAATGCGGAGCCGGGCACCAATGGTGTATCGGCGAGAAATCTGGATCGCCTTGGTGCCCTCCTCGAAGACGAAGGATACGTAAAGAGGGCGCGAGAAACCACGAGTGCGTTCGAGGCGGAGATTATGCAGCACCCGTTCTTGTTTCCCGGAATGATGGACAGCATAGTTGCCACCAAGTTCGGCATCAAGCACGCCGTTATCACGGGCGAGGGCGAAAGAGCCGACGAGTGGCTGCGCCGGTATAGGGATAAACCCGCGGGATTGAGTGTTGTCAGCAGGGTGGGTAAAGATATTGGCAACTGGTTGAAGCAGAGGAATCCTTTGGTGAAGAGCATGGACGCTGAAAAAGAGGGTGTCATGGTCTGCGAAGATGGGGCGTGTAGGGCTGAGTTGGATTATGGCATGCAGGGTTTGGACATCAGTGAACGATGAAAGTGGATGGTTGACATGACTGTTATGAATTTATGCAAATGAAGAGTGGGGGCGTTCGATACGATATCCAGGGTTTGATCATGTCGCTCTTTGGTGGCGTCGCGGGTTGGGCAAAAACCAACCGTGCTCTGCGTTGTACGAGGAGCTCGTTTTTAGTGAGGCATATGGCAAGGTTTTTCGATCTGACAGCCCAACATTAAAACCCTTTAAAATAATTATTAAAAAAAGTTAAATATACAAGAAAATAGCCCTTAATCTCCTCTTTTAGCTCTTGGATTTTTATAAATTAATAATTGATATTGTGGTTGTAATGCAGCACTGCTAGATTGAAAAAACCTTGGCATATTCCTCACTAAAAACGAGCTCCTCCTATGCGGACTTTGTTCACAGTAGTTCTCAGTTCTCGATCACGGGCACAATATCACCACCGAGCTTACACACCATCTTCGGATCCGAAGACAACCAAACGAACACTTTTATACATGCAGAACGTGATCAAATCATCAAATACATGGCATCCTACGCAACGACCTCATCAACGCCATCTACACTCATTGCATCAGCTTCCAACCGATCCGCGGCCCAATCGTGCCATGCCACTTCCATTGTGCGCTTCGCTCTCCCTCTTGGTCTAGAGCTTCCTTACAGCGAGCTTCTTGCGCGCGGAAACGGTATACGCATACAGTGCATCCTTGAACGCGAAAAGGAACGCAGCTGTGATAACGCTTTGCGTGACCTTTGGCCCAATGCCTGTTTGATTGGATTGTCAGTTCTGCTTCTCGTCTCCCGTATAAGGGTATTGCACTTACCACCGTATAACCCACTATATCCTTCCTCCCTGATGATCCTACTCAACGTCGTAAACATGTTCTCCTTCGGGCCGTCCTTACCCGCAACGTGCATCCTGCTCTTCACCGTGATGTACGGGTACGTGATGCTCGTCGCCAGCAACTTGCCCAGGGCGCCGAGGTAAAAGGCATCGGTGGGCGTGACGCGACGGCGCTTCTCCAAGCTGTTCTTCAGCTGCTCGAAGACGGTGTACTGCAGGATAGGATTGATGACGAGCACCAAAGCGGGCATGACGCCGGCAAACAGCCGCGCGGGGCCCTCCTCCCTCAGCAGTGCAAGCAACGTCCCCAGCGTCGACGGCGCCTTCGCTTTCGTCGCGCCCGGGAGCGCGTCTTCGTTCTCCGAGGCCTTGCGCGCCGTCATCCGCGTGTTGATGACCCAAATCGGATTCGTGATCAGCACCGTCGCGCTCCCCGCAATCGCGCCCGCAATCATGCTTTCCACTGTCGTCAACTTCTTACTCGCGCGGCCGGCCTTGAGCGCCGCCTTTTCGAAGAAGGCACGCGTCCATTCGTACCAGTAGTAGTACACGAAGTTTGTGACGCTGATGCCGAAGAGCGCTGATTCCAGGCCAGCGTAGAGGCCGGAGACGCCCTCGCGAGCGATGATGCGGCGCGCGGCGGCGAGGGTGGAGGACGACGCGCGCTTGGATTCGACCTGGGCGCGGGTGGAGAGGGTGATGAGGGGGTACGTCAAAGCCATAGACAGCAGCCCGCCGCCCGCACCCGCGAGTGCGTGCGCAACATTGTCGCTTTGCTGGGCCGCCGAGCTCGTGGGCACCGTCTGCGTCGACTCTGCGAGCTTCTCTTGTGCTGTCCTGCGTGTGTCCGCCATGGTGGGAGCCGAAGTTCTACTACTACTCACTCTCGCAAATACAGGTATTCGTAGAACACGGTAGACGAGAAAGAGAGAGAAAGGTTAGTATGTCGCTTCTTTAAATTCAAGAACGCCAGGAGGGAGTTGTGGTCCATCATCATGTGCGGCTCCGCTCCTGGCTTGTGAACGTCACTCGAGGGTTCAGGGCCCGCTTTTGGGCCGAGGTTAGCAGTGGCCCGGGGACTAGCGGGTACTACTTTACACACCTCAGGGTAATCCTAAGCACGTGCAGTAATTTCCTCCTTTATGCGTCGCATTCGAATTGTCTATTTGGCCTCGGCATTTTGACAGGCGTTGACAGTCGATTACAGCGTGTGGTATTGTCCGGCGCACCAGCGTGCGATGTCCGGATGTTGAAAGCCTGGACATCTTCTAGTCGTAGACCGCGAGACGAGGTCAAAGGGAGTATAAAAAGGAGGCCTAACGCATGGGCTCACTTCTTCCGCTTTGACATCCAGCTTGCCGACACTCCTCCGTACATACAGTTACCGGCCCGCTTTGCTACCAAGTCTATACCAACAGCCTGCCACACCAAGCAAAAATGAACAAGAAAAGAAGAAGACTTGGTCAGTACGGGGGTCGAACCCGCGACCTTGGCGTTAACATGCACCTATTAGCACCACGCTCTAACCAACTGAGCTGCAAGTTTATTAGTTAATGGAACCTAGGGGTGGAGGTGAATTAGCGTACCTAACCGACCGATGATTGGTTGATTGATGACCTATTTTCCATTTTAACGATACAAGTCTGCGTATTTCTAATCGGTAGAGAACACGTCTTGTTCGATGCAAGAAAACGAATGTGTAAAGTGCGTTACATTTGTGTGTGGGGTTGAGCGGGACATTGAAAATTCTGCCGATTGAGGGGTATTAGTGAGTTGCTACGGAAAACTGAGGTATAAGAGGCGGGTAACAAGAGTGTCAAGATGCGAATGAATAACGATGTGTGTTTCAATCCGGAAAGCGAAGTTTCTCGTAAAGCTTTATATCTGGTACGGAGGAACGGTAGCACAAACCGAGGACCGCCTAACGTCCCATTGCGGCTCATAGACAGGTATCAATAACTGAGCATGCACCTAGACAGTCTTAAACAGTAACGCTATTACAATATTGAAAGTTGTTATTGGTAGCCTTCAATTGTGCGGGGTTCTGCTCCGTGAGTCAGCACACAGGTACTTCGCAGTTCCATCGTGAAGCAGGGCTGGTAAAGAGACATGTCAAGTTTTTTGCCTTAGACATGTATGTTCGTCTGCCGGAATGTCTAACTATTGCAAAGCTATGCTTTCACTACTCCCCTTGGCATTTATTTCGAGAAACAGAATTATACCAGGGAGACAGTCTTTTTGGTACCTTTTTATACTCAGTTACTGAGATGTATATTTTTACATATTTTCTCGGGATATCTCGAGGAAGCCACAGAGGGTTTACGGTCAAAATACTCGTCCACAAGCAAGCCTCGTACCTAGTACACCTTATTCCCCTACTCCTAGTTGTCATGGCGGATAGTCTCGAATGCGACGGGGCACGAGAACCGTTGCGAGGATTCCGCTGGAGACGAGAATGTATCTTTGTCTAGCCAGTCGTCTATATTAATATAGAGGTTTTTGAGTCCCGGTGCAGCGTGGATGACACTCGTCCTGGACCAGCTGCAGGGAACTTGGGCATGATGTGTTACGGTGTGTCAATAATTTCTCCAATAGGCGAATCCCATTTCATGTCTTGCACGAAGATAAACAACTCGAAGTAATGGAAATTCACACGTGCAAATATAGTACAATAAGAGGTGCGTCCGTACCATGTCCTTCGCTGCATATTCTGATTACCAGTAGAGAACCTCCCGAGAACGAGCTACAAACACTGAGACATCCCTTTATCAAACATTACTGCAGACTACTGAACCCGTGCGACAACATGTGCGTGCTCAGGGTGGCGCTCCTGCTGCGATCCGGACTCTGGGGGGTAAAGGTGTTGGTCACCTGGACGCAAGCCAACCCTCTTGCTGTACGCTCCGCTGGGCGCGTTTGCCCAGCCATGTGACCATACATACTTTGCATCGCACCGTCTCAGATATAATAGCTAGATTCGATAGTGTAAGCGGCCAAGGCAGACAGCCAGTATTAGCATCACTGGGATGTTCGCTTCCACAGAACCATTAGTCTTCGAGAGAGTGCTCTCATGAGGGTTACCATAATGATTCTAAAAACGATTGTAAAGGTGCAACGAAACATACAGCGGTATCTTCAAACAGAGATACTTCTGGTACGCTTAGAGATTGGTGGAGTATGCGTGTTTCATCAGAGAGTAGCGCAAGTGGTGGATCCACCATGGACTAAAGCAAGCAGTTGATCAATATACTTTGTGCGTTCGGGATTTGACAGACGCGTAATACATTCTAAGATCACTTACATGGAATAGTTTTGACACTGACTGCTAGGACGCTTCCACGATAGGTCGTTGCACTTGCAGTCTATCTGGTGGGTAACACGTTCCAGCTCGTGATGTCCCCAAGGGGAAGTCGGGAGGACCCGCAAACGAGTTTATCGAACGTAGTGGTGTGGTGACTGTGGCAAAAGAGGAGTCGAAGCTGGACGCGTGGAAAAGACATAGCATCCTTTTTGGCGACCATCATATACTGTTTTGAGTTGGGGAAAGACGCGCGGAGCAGAAAGATGGAAAGGTCGGAAGCACCACACGGCTCTAGTAAGCCCGCTCGATGAGAGAAAGGTGCCAGGGCGGCGTCGAAGTGTGTGTGGGGGGGAAGTGTCACCTGTGTCATGCGGCCTGGCCAAGTGCAGCCTTCAGTCAGCTAGGCTGGGGAATCAGCACGTGAACGGGTCTGCTAATAGGATGGTTGCATGATGTTTGCCTTTGTGTGATTGAGATACGCGCTGAAGCAATCCAGGCCGTCATCTGTAGTTTGCGGATAGCTCTGCTAGAGTTCATGGACGCGAGAACGAGTTGGAGGTGAAGGGGCCTCGCGGTCTGTCCCAACAACCGACTGAAGACTGCCAGAGAGCATGCCTCAAGGCGCTGAAGATCGTTGGCGGGCTGCGGGAGGGATCGAGGAGGGGCAAGGTTAGGCAGCCTCGCCCTGATTCGCCGCCCGGGGCACGGCACAGACCACCCATCCCTCTCAATAAGAGTAAGCCCATGCCCCAGTTGCCCAGGTGCCCGCGCAAACGCGTGACTTACCACCTGACCTTCGATCTCCCTCAACTACATACATACCCCCCCAGCGATTTCGACTGTGCGCAACATCGCTGTGGTCGTCCTGCTGCCGGCTATATAGTAATAAGCACGCTGGGCCGCTGCCGCCTTCCCCTTGGCTGAGGAAATCGCCTCTTTCGCCCGATCACGTTATTATCGCGAACCAGCCATCCAACATCGTTCCCAGAGACTTGACCAGGTAAGCCACCCCACAGTCTTTCTCTCTCTCAACATCACCATGTTGGCAGCGCAGCTTCGCCATGCATCGCCCGACGTCGCGCCTACCTGCTGGCACGCCGCGCGTCGCGCCTGCCCAAACACGACGCCAGGTCGTGCCTCGCGCCGTCCTCTTTGAGGGTTGACAGACGAGTGATACACGGCCCGCAGCAAGCAGCAAGCGCATTAACTGATGTGCCGTGTTCCCCGTGCTAACGCTTTGTTTTCACCCAGGTCCCGCTTGTGCCTGATTGCTCGCGCTTTACGTGGAGCATCAACCTTCACGTCCCCGCGCTTTGTCGTCACAGGACCGCGCCTGGTGCATTCACGAGCGGCTGCACACGTCGGCCCGCTGCTGCGCTGCGCCCCACTCATTGTTACTCTCAGAGGCACGCAGCAAAAGGACCAGCTGCCCTTCCAGCAGGTACGGGCTCTTTCCTGAGCGCCCACCCCAATTGTGAAGGTACGAAGTCGTGCAAGACAATTCTGTTTAGACTCGTCTTACTCCTTTGTGTTACCCCAGGACGAGCAATACAGTGGCCGACTGCATCAACTTTTGCCAGCTTCTTCGTGTGCACGCACGTCCGGGAGAGATGGCGGACACCGCTGGCTACCCAACCGATACTTCCAAGACAGGCCTCGGCCACGACGGCCTCCACACCAACAAGCGAAAGCGGGAAACGCGCGACCAAGGCACCTCGCGACCCGCGCCTTCTGCGCACAACACCAACAGCGACTTGAGCGACCAGGCCTTTGCCTCTCTTACCGCACACAACGCCTCGGCCAACGGAGACGACATGCAGCAGCAATACGATGGCGCGAACAACCAGAGCATGGGCGAGACTGCCGCCGCTGCCATAGCGCATTATCAAATGACGGTGCCCCAAGCAACAGAGCTATCGTTTCAACCGCAGTCATCGACTGGAGACGCGTCGTTCAACATGGGAGATCACCACCAGTCGCAGGGGATGCAGGATTTCAGCCTCGAAGCCCTCAAGGCCGCAACCTCCTCGTCGCGAACAGCACAAGCCACGGGCAACGAGTCTCCGCCCGCTACATCATCCCACAAGCCCACTGTCGGGTCAGAGGAGTGGCATAAGGTGCGGAGGGACAATCATAAAGAAGGTAAGTCATGCATTGCGGATTCGTGCACGGTTGGAGCGGGCTACTGACCAGGCTTCAGTGGAACGACGTCGCCGCGAGACCATCAATGAGGGGATTAACGAACTCGCAAAGATCGTGCCCGGCTGTGAGAAGAACAAGGGCTCGATTCTGCAGCGCGCCGTCCAGTTCATCCAGCAGCTCAAAGAGAACGAGCAACAGAACATCGAGAAATGGACCTTGGAGAAGCTGTTGACGGAGCAAGCCATCACCGAGCTCAGCGCTAGCTGCGACAAGTTCAAGGGCGAATGCCAACGAGCCTGGGATGAATGTGCAATCTACAAACGCGCTTGCGAGAACGCCGGAATCGTCCCGGACGAGATCAAGGACCGTGAAAACAATGCCGAGCAAAATGGCTCCAGCTGAGCTTGGCCCACTTCGGTCCATGGTATCTCTCGGTCCATGGTATCTCTCTTTCGTCTGACACTCACGTCATAGAACCGGGCAACGGCATTACTACTACCGGTGGCTTCCTGCTATGCGGAAACATGTTTTGGTGGGCTATATCTGCTTCGCCTTTCTTCACTTCGACCGAGGCAGTTCGCAGCGGCGGATTCTGGAAGGCACTTTTATTCGTCTTCTTTCGAGAGTTTTTGTTCGTCAACTGACGCTCATTTGGTGGGAGTACGATGTTGTTCTATATTCCAATACAGTAATGGTGAAGGCGATCGCGCCTTAGACTGGATAGCCCGGGGGTGTGCGTGGGATGTCTTGCAATTCCGTCTCGGTGCGCGTATCCTGTGGGTGAGGGCAAGCAGTGTCTCGATAACGACTAGTTTTATGGCAATGCACTTCATTGATGTCTTGATCTCAGCAGTGAAGGGAAGCTAACATGTTGGGGCGTGCGAGTAGTGAGCCGCTGGTTGATCTACCTACATACCGTACAAAGGGTAATCTCAATAAAGTCGGCCGTCATGTGACTTGCCAAGAAGCTAGCGCGTCACTAGCGGAACAGAGTCTCCGAGCCTCCGAGCCTCTAGTAGAGCGTCAACACCTACACTTCAACCTCACGTTTCTCACTCAATATGGCTTCAAATCCTGCTAAAAAAAGCTCTCGATTGCTT